CAGCCATCCCAGAAATGCAGGCTTTTCCTTATCAAATTGGTGAGCAGGAGAGAGGTGGTGTTTGATTAATGGTAATACAGTACCTAATGCTTATATAATACTAATAGCACTTACTACCTGCCTGGCACTCTTCTGAACTGTTTCTACATGGAACTCATTTAATCCTCTTAACTCCGTGATAGGGGTTCTCAGCATCTCTGTCGCCATCAGCTAGCCAGTCTATGTGCTGGCGGTAGACCACCCTTCAGCTCCCAGATAATGGTGGCATGTAGCCAGAGAACCATTCCTTTAAACGGACCCCACAATGGCTGCTTTTGTGAAGAGTTCTTGTATAAAGTAGACTCTGACCCCCAGTCTGTTTTAATGAATCTGGATGTTCAGACCTTAGGTTTGTACAAAGCAAGGTATATCTGCCCCCAATCCCACACGCACTCAGCTGTTCCAGGTGTCACTTTATCAGTTTGGTTCCTGAGGCTGGTGACCTTGGTTCATTCCCTTCTAGCACCTCCCCCCACAACTAGTAATTACGACCTCTGGCATCTTCCTAGGCAAGGATTTTTTTTTTCAGGTGTTCTTTTTTTCCTGCGGCCTGCCCTTTTATTTTTTAAGATTTTATTTATTTATTTGACAGAGAGAGACACAGCGAGAGAGGGAACACAAGCAGGGGGAGTGGGAAAGGGAGAAGCAGGCTTCCCACTGAGCAGGGAGCCCGATGTGGGGCTCGATCCCAGGACCCTGGGATCACGACCTGAGCTGAAGGCAGACGCTCAACGACTGAGCCACCCAGGCGCCCCATCAGCCTGCCCTTTTAGAACATTAATTTTTTTTTTTAAAGATTTTATTTATTTGACAGAGATAGTCACAGCCAGAGAGGGAACACAAGCAGGGGGAGTGGGAAAGGGAGAAGCAGGCTTCCCACTGATCCCAGGACCCCGGGATCATGACCTGAGCAGAAGGCAGACGCTTAACGACTGAGCAACATTAATTAATATCTAAACCTGAGCCTCCCCACCTTTTCCTGGTGATAAAAATCACCTGTGGGAACGTCTGTAAACACAGATTCCTGGGCCTCCTCATCAGGAGATTGAGATCTGGGTGTTTGCAGAGCGTCCACTGGGCTGTCCTGTCATTTCCTAACTCAAAGCAAGGACATGAGTTGCTCAGTCATTGGTCTTCTCTTTCCTCTGTTCACCCCCTCCTGGTTCCTTCCCCTTGTCCTCTCAGTCACTCAAATTACCTCTTTCCTGAGAGACCAGCCCTGCCCCCTGGTCATGCCCTGCCTAGGCTCCCTGACCCCTTCTCCAACTGAATACTTCTTTATTTCTAGAGCAGAGGCTGTGGAAGTGGGGGGTCTGTGGGATGATGGGCTTTATTTGTGCCCCCGTGCCTTCTAGAAACTGGGAAATTAAAAAAAAAAAAAAAAGGGTAGCAGGTTGCTGATTTCTTTTGAAAAGAAAAACATCTGAGCCTCCATAGCCCGGCTACAACCTGGCACCCTTGGGCAGAAACCAGCTGGAGCCGGGGTTGGTGGCTGGGCCCTTTGTTGGGCCAGGGGTGTCTAGTTCAACGCAGTCCTCACCACTCTCTCCTAGATGCCTCCCACGCTCATTTTCATGACTCTCTGGCTCTGAGGGCATTTGAGCTTGGGACCACCTTTTGCCTGTGCCACTGGGAGTGCCGTCTGCTCTGCCTCCCAGAATCCTCCCCGCCACTGCCGTCCTACCCACTCCATAAACCCTTCCCTCCACCTTCTCCCCAAACCTCCAGAAATACCTTCCTTCCTCCTGAGCTCTTGTTCTCCTCAGTCAAGGTTTTGGTAAATGCCTTCCACTTTCTTGAACTGTGGTTTTCTAACTCTAGTCTGCATGAAGGGTTTTCTGCCTCCTGACCTCGCTCCGTACTACAAGTGACATACGTCTTTCTCTGGACCTTTGACAGGGCTTAGGTTCAGCCACTAATTGTCTCAGTTGTATTTTTTGGCGGGGAGGAGGAGGGGAATCTCCAGAAACATACCTGGTAAGTTTCCCAAGCAGCCTCTTAAAGTTCTGTCAGAATTGCTCCTTTGGGCTAAAATGTTTAGTCCATTATAAATTTCTCCACTCAATGGGCGCCTAGCTGGCTCAGTGCGTGGAGCATGCAACTCTTAATCTTGGGTTTGTGGGTTTGAGCCCCACATTGGGTGTAGAGATTACTTAAAACCTTTAAAATAAACAAATAGGGGCACCTGGGTGGCTCAGTCTTTAAACATCTGCCTTCGGCTCAGGTCATGATCCCAGAGTCCTGGGATGGAGCCCCGTATCGGGCTCTCTGCTCAGCCAGGAGCCTGCTTCTCCCTCTCCTGCTACCCCGCTTGTGTTCCCTCTCTAGCTGTCTCTCTCTCTCTGTCAAATAAATAAATAAAATCTTTAAAAAAAAGTAAATACATTTCTCCATTGATTTGGTAGGAGAGGATCCTAGAGTACGGACTCTGGAGTCAGGCGCGCCTGGCTTCACATCTCTGCCTTGCCACTGAATAGCAGTGCGACCCTGGGCGAGGAGCTGTACTTCTGCAAGACCTGTCCCCTCCCCCTTTAACACAGGCTGTGTGGAGGATAAAATGAGATGACGCATGCACAGCATTTAGCCCAGCACTGGGTGTATGATAAGGCCTCAATAAATAGTAGCTGTTACTGTTTTGTTCTCAACCTTGTGTCAGGTTCTAGGCCAGTTGCTGGGTCTCCAGGATACAGGAGATGTGGTTGGCCCTCAGGTGGTGCTTGTCCCAACCAGATTTGAGGTGGCCCCAGAGAGCCAAGTACCAACATGGGGTTCTGCACAGAGCTGGGGGAGTAAAGAGATCATGGGTGGTCAGGGACAGGGCAGGTGACCTTAGGCTGGCCTTGAAGACCCCTTGAAATGTCATGCTGGGCAGCTGCAGAAGCATAAAGGAAAGACACAGGGCAGTTGAGGAATAGCATGGGCGCCGCAGGTGGGAAGTTTCTGGTAAGAGGGGCTGTTAGGCAGAGAGGCGGGGCCAGACCACATGTCCAAGGGCCTTGTTAAAGGAAGCGTTGTTAACTTTTAGCAAACTAAGTATAAGCCACCTAGTTAAATGTGAAGTTCAGATAAGCAACAGATAATTTTGAAAGTGCAAGTATGCCCCAAATATTGTATGGGTTATACTTACACTAAAAAAAAAATGGATTTTGTTGTTTATCTGAAATTCAAATTTAACTGGGCAGACTGTTGTTTATCCGGCAGCCCTGCTTGTATGCCTGGTTCCCAAAAGGCCCTGCTCAAATGCAGACAGGTTTTACTCAAGAGGAAGAATCCTGTTAACTTGTTGGAGCAGATTTATTTTTCAGAGTAGCTTGAAAGTGAAATGAGGGTGCCTGGGTGGCTCAGTTAGTTAAGCATCTGCCTTTGGCTCAGGTCATGATCCCAGAGTTCTGGGAGCATTTACACATCTACACATCCATGGTATGTATGTATGTATGTATTTTTAAAGATTTATTTTAGAAAGCGCATGAGTGTGGGGAGAGGGAGAGAATCCCCAAGCCAACTCCCCACTGAGCGTGGAGCTGGATCGTAGGACCCTGAGATCACGACCTGAGCGAAATCAAGAGTTGGACGCTGAACCGACTGAGCCACCCACGTGCCCCATCCATGGTTTTTAACTGGATCCTCACTGATGCTCCACAAGGCATTTAGAGAGAGTTCTGTTAGAAGTCCAAGGCTAGTGGGCACCTGGGTGGCTCAGTCAGTTAAGCGTCTGCCTTCAGCTGGAGTCGTGATCCCAGAGTCCTGGGATCGAGTCCCACATCGGGCTCCCTGCTCAGCCTGCTTCTCCCTCTCCCTGTGCCTACTTGTGCTCTCTATCTCTCTGTCAAATAAATAAATAAAATCTTTTAAAAAAAAAAGTCCGAGGCTAGTGATTGAATCTTTGGAAACAGAGATGGGAATAAAGTAGTCCTGAAATGTTTCTGATTTTCAGCTACCAAATTAGGAAATAAAACCCCCAAGGTCAGCAACAGCCAACTTTCTAGAGAAATGGAAAAGAAAAGAAATTTGCATGGATAGATCTGTGACCGTCTTTCATCTTCTTGGCAACCGGAAATGGACGCGGTGCGGCTTCTGTGTCAGAGGAGACTAAGGTGCAGCCAGGCCCAGTACTTTGCTAAGGAGCAGGGATTCAAACCCACAGCTGTCTGCTCTTTCCTCTACATCCAGGAAAGAGAGTTAGAAAAACCCAAGATGGTCCTTGGCCTCCAGGAGTCATGGCTCTACTGGGGACAGAGTGTTGGGACTGAGAGTTTTAGGGGTTTAGAGGAGAGAGGGGTGCCTGGGTTAGTAGAGGTGGGGGAAGGGGCACCCCAAGGGACTGAATGAGCAAAGCTTGGAGGTGGTCCAACCCAGGCTGGGTTCACACAGCACCTGGCTGCAGTGTTTTAAATGCCATGCCGGAGAGACTTGCCTTCTAGTGAGTTGTAATTTCTGAGCAAAAGCTATAGATACCTTGTAGCTATCTGTAAATAGGGGTCCTCTGTCCCTTATCAGGGGCACCTGGGTGGCTCAGTTGTTAAGCGTCTGCCTTCGGCTCAGGTCATGATCCCAGGGTACTGGGATCAAGCCCCACATCGGGCTCCCTGCTCGGGGGGAGCCTGCTTCTCCCTCTCCCACATCTCCAGTGAGGCGGCAGTATCCCATAATCAGACATTAATATTCCTGCAGCAAAATGTATCGCATCAACGGTTAACAGGAAGTGGGATAGGTAAAGATTAAACTAACCTCACAGCGGCTCAGGTCAGGTTTTGTACCAAATGGGTTATGAAACAACGTTTCAGGGCTCAGAGCTTTTGGAGTTTGGTATTTGGAAGGAGGATCCCAGAGCTGTACCTTTCTTTCCCTCTTAAATTCCTTCAAACACGAAAGACATGCAATTTGCCTGCTTCACCACCAGAGGGCCCCCGGTTATCATTCTGTTCAGGATCCTTGCTAATGGAGGTTTCTCCTCACTTCAGCTTGCAGATGCCAGCAAGTTACCCAACCTGAAAGACCTTCTCCAGTCCTCTGGAGACAAAGACATACGGGCCAGGGACCTGGTGAGCTGGATTTTATCCTCAAAGCTCCTGACGATCCACAGTGCAGGGAAGTCAGAGGTGAGACTTTGGTCTATAGGACAGCAGATCCCTAGGACTGAAGGGCTCTGGAACCTCTTCGTGCACCAGAATGGCCTGGGAAGCTTGCTGAAAATGCAGATTCCTGGACCTTGTCCCGAGAGATGCTGATTCTGTGTCAGGAGTGGGCTGAGGAACTTGCATGCCGGCAGTGCAAAGCTGTGTTCTCCCCGTTATGGTGAACCTGGAGCAGGCCACCAGATGCATCTCAGTATCTCAGTCTCCTCATCTATAAAATGGGGATAGCAATGGTATACCTCCATCAGGGAACTGGCTGTGAGAACGGAATGAATCTTCCCAGCTAGAAGAATGCCTTAGGGTACATGCTAAGGGCTCAGGAAATGTTGGGTATCATAAGCACCCCAGGTAAATCCAACAAGGGTGGGCCCTTGACCACACCTTAAGGAACACTGGCCTCATCCAGTTATCAGGAAACAGAGAGGTAGAACTTGGTTAATGGAACACTTCAGGCTCTGGGGTCAAATCCCACTTCCATCCAGCATTGAGTCTCCTTTTCCCCATTTGTACATTGAGAATATTAATAGTTTACCTCAGAGGGGAGCTATGGTAGAATGTGTGACACCCCCAGTATAGTTTCTGGCACAGACCAGACATTCCGTAATCTGGTTTCTCTTGCCTGGCCAGGATCTCCCTCGGAGCATGGGATGGCAGATCCCTGATCCGGTGCTCTTTCCGCGGAGAAGCAGCAGGGGTTTATTGGTATTGTTCATCAATTTCAATTTAAGAGCATTTAATCTTACAAGCTCCTGCTAAAGACAAAAATCCTCCTCAAGTGGCATAGAATTGGGTGTTTCGGATTCTGGTGTCTAGGGGTGTCCACCTGTGTTGTAAAGGGTCAGTAACACAGAGAGCCCTGGAGTGGGAGTCAGGGGATCCATATTCACGTCCAGGCTGGGTTGCTCACTCAGATGATCTCTGGGTTTCACCTCTGTCATCTGCTAAATTAAGATTTATTCATTCCTCATGTGGGTATCAAGCATCTACTAGATGTTGGGTACTCTAGGTAAAGTAGATAAGGCAGTGGCTCCTTGACTTTTAACTATGGGTCAGTTAAATTTCGTTCAAATGTGGAGTGTTGGCACCATATGGAGTGAGGATTATCAGCTTTTTATTGTGGCCAAGTAAGGACATTAGGTTGCCATGTATCATCACTTTATAAAAGGATATTTTAATACAGAAAACAGAGGATGGCCCCAAAAAAGGACAAAGAAAGGATCATGGCAACCTGACAGCAATATAAACATATCTGTTACATTGTCCTTATTTTTCTCATTTAATCACAACCCAGAGAAAACAGACTGGCTTTGGTCTTTGACTTACTGTTGAGAAATCACCCAAATGTTGTGGTCTCTGCCCTGAGAAGGATCAGTGCCCTTCAGGAAGAGCTTGCTCTTCCCTACCAATTAGGTGTCGTTGCATAACAAACCATCCCCCAAACCTAGGGCTTAAAACAACATTGATTGTTTCTCATGATTCAGTGGGTTAGTTGGGTTGTTGGTCCGGGTGGGGCTGGATGATCTAGGGTAACCTCACATGTCTGGGTCTTCAGCTGGGATGGCTGCTGTGGTGGGGGCCTCCGCTGTGAGGCCCTCATCCAACTGAAGGCTAGCAGGGCTTGTTCCCATGGTAGTGAAGGGTTCACAGCAGGAGGCCCTTTTCAAGTTTCTGCTTGCTATGTATTTGCCAGGGTCAGAGCAAGTCACATGGCCAAGCCCAGATTCAAGGGGCAGAGAAGTAGATGCCACCTCTTGATGGAGTTCTGGAATTCTGCCTGCAGAGTCATTTACAGAGGGGCAAATGGGCAAGAATGGGAGCAAAAGTTTGGGGCCATTTTTGCACTCAGTCACACCCTTCTACCTCCTGAGATTATTGTAACGATGGAACGCAGGAAACGGATGTGATGTTGTTATGAAAATTAGAGGTAACCTTTAGTTAGAAGGAGCAGTTCATGCTTCACAGCCTGGTGTAGGGAAGAACAGTATTAGAGGGAAGCAGTCTTAAGCTATAAGCTCTGAGCTTATTTACAAATCGTTGTCTGTATTCTCATGAAACTAGTTGTTCTCATGAACGGAGCCCATAGGAGCCCAAAGCCCAAAGCTTTAGAAGGCCATTTTGGCAGCACATCTTACCAGCTTCCCAAATAAAATTGCGACTTCCTACATGTTTTCAAGTTCGAAAAGATCCAAAAGCTGACTGGTGCCCCTCACACGCCTGTCCCCGTGCCGGACTTCCTGTTTGAAATTGAATACTCCAACCCAGCGAACGCCAAATTTTATGAGACCAGAGGAGAACGAGACCTAATCTACGCCTTCCATGGGAGCCGCCTCGAGAACTTCCATTCCATCATCCACAATGGGCTGCATTGCCACCTGAACAAGGTGGGGCCTAAGCCTGCTGACATGGGGGTCAGAACCTTGGGGCATTTGCTGGTGGGGGCTGGGGGGAGAGGTTCACTAAGGCCTTGCCACTCCTGAGTGTGGTCTGCAGACCAGTAGCAGCACCTGGGAGCCTGTGAAAATGCGGAATCTTGAGCCCACCCTAGACTTTCTGAATTAGAACCTGCATTTTAACAAGATCTCCAGGTGATTCCTATACTGATTACAGTTTGAGAAGTATTGATTTAAAGATGGTTCCCAGCCTCTGCCCATTTGGAATCACTTGGGGAGCTTTTAAAAATCCCAATGCTTGGCTGCATCCCAAACCAATTAAATCAGGATCTCTGGGTGTGGGGCCCAGATACCAGTACGCTTTAAAAGCCAGGTGATTCCAGTGTGTAGCCAGTCCTCGTGACTCAGCATGGTCCCTGGCCCAGCAGCCTCCACCTCACTTGAGAGCTTGTCGGCAGATGGAATCTCAGGCACACCCAGACCACCTGATCAGGATCACGTAAACAGGCTCACCAGGTGATTCGTATGCACGCTGAAGTTTGAGAAGCACTTGCCTGGGAGGAGAGCCTCCTAGGAGCCAGGAAAGACCACCTTAGCAGCTCTGTGTCCTGGGCAGATTTCCTTAACCTCTCTGAGCCTCAGTGTCCCCATCTGTAAAATAGGATGTCATTACCCACCTTCTGGTGTGCTGAGAGGTTTCAGACAGTTCATATAAGCAAAGGGCTCTTCCCGTACTAGACTCCCAAGAAAGCAGTGGCTGCTTTCATGGGCGGATGGAGAGGGACTCTGGGGTAGTCGGAGGGCTGCGGCCTTCCCCCCAGTCATGCCAGCATCTGTCTCGTCGGAGGGGCTGGTTCCGTGAGCCATGGGCTCAGCTGTGGCCGATGCAGCCCCGGGGCTGGAGAGACTTTTCCAACACTGCTGTAGCTGATTAGTGCAGTTGGGTTTTGCATAGGATGATGGGCTTGTTTATACTGGCTCTTAGCTTCTTATTATGGCCAGGCTACTGGAATTCAGGGGGCCTCTGCTTCACGGCAGAGCCTGCCTGGAGAAGCCACCTGCAGATTACAGCTTGTACAGCAAACCTTCATGTCACTGTCCAGGGAGTTGCTGCTTAGAGGCATCTTGTCAGAGTCCTCTCGTAAAGCTGATGCTCTGTTAGCCACTTCTGTCTGGGTTTTCAGTGAGGGGCTTGCTCAAGGGAGCTTACTTGCCAGATGAAGCTGTGAGATTATTTTCATAGTACAGATACCCCACCTTTCCCACTCTCTCGTGCCTCTGCTCACAGCAGTCTTGCTTGAGGTTCTTGAGTCGAGGGGGTCTAGTCTGTGTATATATGGCAGCCAGAGCTTAGAATGGATGTGGAGTCAGATCAGATGACATCCAGTGTCCTTGGAGAATGTCTGTGTCAGCTTCTGAGACATGGGGACACTGCCTAACTTGGCAAGGGGCTTCCCAAAGGTAAAGCAAAGGCTTGTTTCATTACCCCTAAGCTTCACCGAACCAGCTTAGAATTGTGGAAGCCTCGTGCCACTGAATAGGTCATCTCTCAGTTCCCAAGCTTAGGGTGTTCAGTGAGTAGTTTGAGTTCACTCAACAGATACAGATATTGCAGCCCCAAAGATAGCAATTGAATTTCAAATTCCATCCATTGGTAGCCACTACCTGAAATGAGAAGGATTCTGAGTCAGTCTGACTGAGTGCCAAAATTGATATTTTTATGTTGGCCATCATGGTTGATTACTGACCCTTTGCCATGGTCTACCATGGGCAAAAGATGTGTTTGCTATGCCTGCTGTAGCCTCAGCCTGCAGGTGTATCACCTGGGCTCATTCTGTCTCACCTGACACGCTTCCTCATGGAGGACATCAGTTAGACCCTACCACTAGGGACCTGCCTCCTAGATTTTGGACATTTTCTTGGTTGACACCCACACAAAGCGTAATACTTACCCTGTCCCTAATACAGGCCTGTCTTATTTGGTTACGCTTTCTGGTCTGAGATTCATTTCTTTTCCACATGACGACTTAGGTCCCTTCCACCCTCAAGTGTGACCCCCCTCCCTGTGCATAAGTGCATGACTTTGCTTCTGCAGGGCCGTCCGTATAACCATGCTAAATGCATTCGTGTAACAGGAATTACTAATATATTGTGATGTACATGCCACTCCTCTGATGTGCCAGGTGTCCAGCTCAATGCTTTATGTACATTATCTCATTGAGCCCTCACCTATGATGTTGTGAAGGAGGTACTCTCATCACTGTTTTGTAGATGCAGAAACTGAGACCCGGAGAGTTTCTATAACTTGCCAGCTTGTTGGAGGTACAGTCAGGATTCAAACTCAGATCTGTTGGGACTCCTACACCTATGTATTTCTTACTCAACCTTGATCACTAACTTGCCAGGCTAGGCGGGCACATCCACAATCAGTTCAACTGTCGTCAGATAGGAATGTGTTCAATTATAACTCTGTGATGATGTCTTAGAAGGAGCTGACATTATCTGCCTTTTCCTGGGGGAAAAAGAGGCTTGAGAATTTTGTGTTTACAGTTCTGTTGAAGAAAGACCTGCGTCTTCTTGCTGTGCCAACTTCACATTCACTCGGCCCTGTTTCTTTGTTAACCTCTGCCGTTCCAGACGTCCTTGTTTGGGGAAGGCACCTACCTCACCAGTGACCTGAGCCTGGCCCTCCTTTATAGCCCCCATGGCCTCGGATGGCAGCACAGCCTCCTCGGCCCCAGCCTCAGCTGCGTCGCTGTGTGTGAAGTCATTGATCATCCAGATGTCAAGTGCCAAACGAGGAAGAAGGGTGAGTAAGCACTTGGCCTGGACCCGGGCTGCAGGCCTCTTAAACATACAGGCTCTTGCTGTTGGCCCATCTGCCAAGGAATGGGCTGGGTCCAAAGCAACCTGGGACAGGAGCTTGCCTTCAAGGAGTGAGCAGTCTCCTTAGGGACACATGGTGGAAAAGATAAACTTACTATGAGGTGGTGGACAGAGAGTGCCAGGGGAGGGGCTGATGAGCTCCGCAGCAGCAGCTGAGAGGAAGGTGCATTCAATCAGAGTAGGTCCAAGCGCTCAGGGAAAGCTCTGGGGAGGAGGTGAGCTTCCATAGACAAAAGTGAGCATGTGAGGCCAGAATGTGGGCTCCTTGAAGGCAGAAACTGGGTTTCAGTCACCCTTGAGCACCTGGTATCTGCAGAGAGCCTGGAACATACTTGACATTCAGTAGGTATTTGCTAAACTGAAGCTAAAGACGTGGATCCAGACCCTGTCCCTCCAGGCTACTCTGGTGTGTGCGCGGGTGGGTGCCCAGAGGACATGGGAGACAACTGAAGCCATGGGGAGTAAATCCCGGGCTCTCCGGGGAGCGGATGACTAGCTAGCCTCCTCAGTCCACTCTGATACATTCCTTGGAGTCTCTCTCTGCCTTGTGCGCCCTGCTGTTTTGCCCTCAAGAGGCAGAAGAGTCACAGAACTGTTATTCTAGCCTCCAGAACCGACTTGTTGGTTCCATGGAGAAAAGGAGAATTGAGAAAACTGTCTGTTCCTGGCCTCTAATGTAAAACAACTGGAATCCTGAGGAATGGGCCCAGGTCTGACGCCACCCTTCCAAACTCAGCAGCGTGAATATTTGCATTTATAATTCTTAGGAAGTTTGCAAACTCAGACCTTAAACATCAGAACAAAACCTTGCAGTGTCTACTGTCACGTAGCTTTGTTTGTTTGGTTGGTTGGTTTTGTAAAGTTTCACGTTATTTTTAAAAAGTTTTGGGTTTTTTGTTTTGTTTTTTAAACAAGTCTTGGTACAAAGGGTGGACCATAAGAATTCTAAGAAGTTCAAAAATCTGGATGGTTAATTTAAAATGCCTGTTAAGAGACTCATTTTAGGTCAAGTCCTGTACCTAAGCCCAGATCATTTTTTTGTTGTTGTTACGGCCATCCATCTGCTTCTTCCCTCTGCTTTCCCAACTCAGTTTTTCCCCCCTTGTATCCCCTATTATTTTCCTGTGTTTTTGTTTTGTTTTGTTTCTTTCTCTGGTTTGTCAGATTTGCCTACTTTTTTAGTGCTGCTTTGTACACACAGACCATTCCTCAGCCTGCTGGGCCTTCTCCACCCTCACAACCAGGACGCTTGACCTGTTTCTACTCATAATTTGCTCCTCTTATTACTGACTGTCCCCCCAGTAAAGCTGTACTTAATTCTCCTTATTCAGATTCCAAGGAGATAGATCGCAGGAGAGCGAGAATCAAACACAGTGAAGGGGGAGACGTGCCCCCGAAGTACTTTGTGGTCACCAATAACCAGCTCCTGCGCGTGAAGTACCTGCTGGTGTACTCGCAGAAGCAGCCCAGCAGGTAAGGAGGGCGGTCCCCGCCAGAGGCCCAGGACAGCACCTCAAAGCTGCATTCCGAGTATCGGGTTCTCCGTTATCAGCTTCCCTTGCCCCCAGCCTCAGACTTGAGCTGTGTGTGAAGTGTATAAAACACTCCGCTACGCATGGCGAGGGTGAGGAAGAAGGGTCTGAGGAGATGTGGTCCCGGCCCTAAGAGGGACTGTATGTTCCTAGTGAGGAAGAGAGAGACTGGTAACTCCGCAGCAGATGAGACCGTCAGCCCCTCAGAGCCATGGCGGATGCCTCCTCCCAGCTCAGCAAGTGTAGTGGGGGGGGGATGTGCAGGGTTCTCCAGGGTCAAGGGTCACTTTGAGATCCTGTTGCATGGTTGGGGTCTATGGCAGGGCTTCTGATGGGGACGAGCAGCAGAGGAGCAGGTCAGATAGGAAAGGGGGTCGCTTTTAATACACCCCACTCCAGTGGTCTCCACGCTTCAAGATTTCATAAACCGGTAAAATCCTCCCCTCCCCCAGCCCAACTGTGGGGAAATTTGTATAGGGTTCCTGAGTCTGAGGAACATTATCCTTTGGTTTGAAACCCTCTGGCTTTTTCTACTTGCAATTTCCATTCCTTTCCCACTTCTCCCTGGAGTGTCTCTGTAGTGCACACTTGGACGCTTTAGATCATCACCCAGTGGGCCAAAGAGGATTTCCCCAGCTCCGACTTATATCTGTACGTGTCTCACAGTGAAAAGACTTTTGCTAAATAACCTGCCACCTGCCGCCATCTGGGCAGACACCCCGAGCAAGGTCATTCTTCTAGATACCAAAGTCTTGCTGAAGGAAAGACGGGTCATAAAAGGTACAAGAGGAGCCATAGGAGAGAAAATCAGGATGAGCTCATTGCATAGCTGTCTTTTTATATTTAGAAAATGTTCTGGTGAAAGATATGTCGGTGCCAGGGCAAATAGCCCCAGATTTTTTGAGCAAAGGAGCACACACGAAGCTTCATTTCATGGCTCACCCAGAGGATGAAATTCATCATTTCATCTTCTTTGAGCCAGAAGTTGTTGCATACGCTTAGAAAAAAAAATGGTTTTCTCTTCTCGCCAACACCCCTTTTCTCCCCCCTTAAGCAGGCCTTCCAGCCAGCTGTCCTGGTTTTCCAGCCATTGGTTTACGGTCGTGCTATCCTTGTATCTGCTGTTGCTGCTTATTGTGAGTGCCATCAATTCCTCAGCTTTCCAACACGTTTGGAATCGTGCAAAGAGATAATCCCTCTGGGCCTAGTGTGGGGGCCTCCTTGACCACGTGCCTTACAATACAACCTGTTCTGTACCCCCCGTGCCCCCTGTCCAACCAGGTGGAGTCTGGGGACCAGCTGGGGACCACAGGACAATTTTCATATGACATAAACATATTGATTGCCTTTGATGATGCTCCCGGCCACACTCTGGTCAGTGGGGACCACCAGTCCCCTCACTCTGAGGTTTCAGGGGAGTCCTGTCTGCTCCTTCCTAAACAATCCTAGGGAGTTGGCTCTTCTGCCAGGGCCAAAGGAAAAAGTCCTGCTGCATTTAAAAACAGTGTCCAAGCTGTCAGTGGCATGTTTACAATCGCTCCTGGCAGACGTTGGCCCTTTCTCTAATGCCTTCTGGAAGGCGGAATACGTGTAGTGGGGACTATAAATCACTAGGCGGTTGCCTTGTTTTGACTTGAGACACCCAAGAGGAACAGTCCTGTTTCTCATAAAAATTGGTGGGATCGTTTCTGAATTCCGTCAGCCTTTGTACGTGAGTGCAAAACATTTTCACAGTTTTCCCAAATCCACAAACAGCCTTCTGCTACAGCTGTTGCCCCCCTGCCCCAACCATGGATGAGAAAGGAAGGAGCTAGAGGCCTGATAAAAAAGACAGACTTGACAATGAGCAACTCATGTCATCTTTTTCTAAAAATTACCAACTGCTGATTACAGCTGAAATGGAAACACATGTTTGTTTTCTGGGTTTTTTGGTGTTTTTGTTTTTGTTTTTTTTAATAGCTATTTGACAAATTCATGTCTGGGAGCTGAGTAAAAGGGGAGATTTCTAAACCTAGAGCACTGTTTGGCCAGTGCCTGTAGTCTCTTTCCTGGCCATGTTTTAGAGAAAGGGATTTGCGCCGCAGGCCTACGTCCTGTTCTCATTCTCACGAAGCTGCCTTGATTGTGGCCTTTGAGCCACAAGTGCCACGCCACAGGCCTTCTGTGGGCTGCCACAAATGTGCATGGACTGAGCCTCCCTTGCAGGGGTCGCAGGTCTTTGGGACTCAAGTTGGGCTTTGAAAGTGCAGAGAAGACTTGTAACTCCAGCTGCCCAGGGGAGCTGCAGTTGTCCTCGCTGATTCTCTGCCCTTCCTTCCTGCCCTGTTTCAGCCATCATGGAGCCCTGTCTGATTTGGGGGGTAGGTTTGTGTGAAGAAGGTGGAAAGTCAGTTTTCTACAATCTGTGAAGGTGCGAAAAAGCCACTATCATGGTTTTTACATTGAATATGGCAACATTTCAAAAATAATAAAGGTATTTTCCTAATTACCAAGTTGTCTTTTTGTGACTGCTTTCAGCCTCGGCGAGAGGCTGCCGTGTGGGCCTTGTTGCTAAAAATCTTATCCTCTCTTCCCTTCCCTGTTCAAGGTAGCAGTTTGCTGACAGCATGTATCACTGGGATATCTAGTAGGTATTAGATTTCTAGTCATTGATTGAACAAATATGAGCACCTACTGTGTGCCAGGCACAAGAAATAGGAACGAGATCAAGGTCAAAATGCCCTGCCCTCCTGGAGCTGAGGTCTGACCAGGTGCGGATATAGACAGGCATTCCCAGGAAGGAGGTTGGATTATACTATAAAGAAGTTTTGGGAAATACTTGGCAGGGAGCCTCAACTTCATCTGGGGTCAGGAAGTACGGAGATGACACATGTGGCATTGCAGAGCATCTACGGATACTGATTTCTTTAATCCTGACAACAGATGAGAAATTGAAGTCCTGGAGAGTGTCATAGCTTGCCCTTCCTACATGGTCATAGGAAGTGGCACAGAGCTAGGAGCTGCGCTGGACAGGTTTCAGTGTGATCCTCATAACCATCATCCTCGACGGCCCCCCCTGGGCTCCCGGCAAATGTGATGTTCAACTGAAACCCGACAGAGCCATTGGTGATAGGCTAAGAGGTGGGGGAAGAGTGTTTCAGGCATTGGGAACAGTACATGTAAAGACCTAGAGTTCTCGCTGGAGAAGTTAAAAGCAGGAGGGCCACACAGGAAGGGGCTGTGGTGAGCAATGGGGCTGGAGAGGTACGCAGGGGCCAGGTCACGCAAGACCATCAGAGCTGAGGGTCAGGGAGAGCCATTAGGTTTTAAGCAAGGAAATGGTAGGATCAGGTTTGGTTTCCAGGAAGATCACTCTGGCTGGTGGTTGCAGAATAGATTTAGCATGGTTTTGAGGATTAACAGAACTGACACAGTAGGGCTCAGCACAGAGCAAATAGCTGGTGTGTTTTAGCTGCGATTATTAGTTTTTAAGGCCCAGCAGAGGGAATGAGCATGCAAAGGAGACCTAGCAGCAATGTCCAGGGAAATAGGAGGAAACCAAGACAGCAAAGTGTCACGGAAGCCAAAAGGGAAGTCTTGAGCAGTGTCAGACGCTGCGGAGCAGTCAAGATTATGCCTGAGGAGTATCCATTGGATTTACCAAGTTGGAGATCATTGGCAAATTTGGTGGGAACAGTTTCAGCAGAGTTCAGCACAGGGGATGTGGACAAAGTCCTACTGCATAGACGTGAAATGTGCAGTTTCCAGCAATTCTCAGGCAGTATTTCTTTAAAACCTAGCCTTTCTTTTTTCTGAGGTTTCTGCCCTCCCCCTGCCTGCCCCAGAGTCAATGCAATACCTGATGTGAGCATGGGGCAGGCATTGAGCATACGGGGGGGCATGAGGATGGATGAAGAATGGTCCTATCCTCCAGGACCTCCTAGGCTGGTGGGGGCCATTGGACATGTACATTTTGATATGGCAGAAGGAAATCCCTGGAGTCTTGAGGGTTGAAATGAACAGAAAGGGAGATGAAGGCAGAACTACATTATCACTTCATGGGCCCTTTTGCCTTCCTGGACTCTTTCCTCAATAAAAAAGATCTAAAATTATATTTTATGGGGCACCTGGGTGGCTCAGTTGGTTAAGCCTCTGACTTTGGCTCAGGTCATGATCCCAGCGTCCTGGGATTGCACTCAGCGGGCAGTCTGCTTGTCCCTCTCCCTCTGCTGCTACCCCCTGCTTGTGCTCTCTCTGCCTTTCAAATAAAAATATTTTTTAAAAATTATGTTATATGATTGTGTTGGTATAAAGATGAATATATTACTACTAAATACTAAAATGTTTGCTTCCCCTTACAAGCTTGTTTTTTCCTTCTGATTTTAAAGGAAATTAAAACATTTTTATAATGTGGACTCTAGGCCCTGTGCCTACTATGCCTAATGGATGAGTCAACTCTGGACCAGGGTAATGGGGGATAGTGTGAGATCCCTGGGTAGCTGGGAATGGAGAGGCAGGAAGGAGACAAAGACTCAGAGTTCTGTTTAGCTCCAACTTGACATCTAATGCGGACCCCAGAGGCCAGCCAGCTCCAGGGAAGGGCAAGTTTGGGTGCTGGGGTTTGGGAGCTCAGGGGGGCTCACGCGGCAGACACTTTTTCGTGAAGCGGGAAGAAGCAGTCTCCTTGCTGACAAACCCCTTCAGGGCCAAGAACTTCAGCAGGTGGCTGATGGCAGAGAAGACCAGATTGCGGTTCAGTTGGAGCCACCTCACATGGGAGACCCAGCTGCCTTGGTCTTGTGAAAGCAACCCCATCAACCCTCTGTCACTAATGCCACTGTCAGTGGGGACAGTTTGGGGAGGGGATGGCGAGTAGAACTCCCACAGTTTTGGTCCCTGCTTCTGGAAAGTGCCAAGAATCCGATGAGCTGTCGGTTTCCCCCCACAAAGGGAAGGGGTTTTACTCTGGCTCTTGGATAAGTGTACGTGTGTATGTGAGAGAGACGTGGAGGAGGAATGTGGTTCACTGTTGTTTCTGATTAATTCATCTCATTAAACACTGGGCGCCTGGGTGGCTCAGATGGTTGGGCGTCTGCCTTCGGCTCGGGTCATGGTCCCGGGGTCCTGGGGTCGAGTCCCGCGTCGGGCTCCCTGCTCCTTGGGAGCTTGCTTCTCCCTCTGCCTCTCTCTCTCTCTCTGTCTCTCATGAATAAATAAATAAAATCTTTAAAAAAAAAAAATTAAAAAAAGCTACATATAAAAAAAAAAAACAAAAAACAAAACACTGCCAACAAAACCAGGAGTGGATAGGGCGTTTGTGACTTAAAGAGCCCAATTCAGATCTTTTTCTTTAGAACATGACTCCATGCATCTGAGCCCATTCCTGCTGCTGAGCCCTGGAGGTTTGTGTTGGCTTGGAATCAGCTGCATGCACCCTCCCCGTTGCCATGGTGATTCTTGGGCTGGTTGGGGGGAGCTGGGTTCAGCTTCTCATACACATACATAAAACCCCAGGACCATTCCCTTCCTGAAGCTCCCTCCACAGCCCCCACCCATCTCTCTCCCTGCTCCCCTCCTTTCCACCCTGCCCCACCTCGTGAGTTTTCCATCTCTTGGCCTTGGTTTGTTTTTGCTTTTGTCAGTCTCCCTCCTCTGGATGAGTTTCTGTTTGTTTCCAAACTGTCTGGGGCTGTGTACCGGGGAGACAGTGTCCTGGGCTGCCTCTAGCCCTGATCTGGTTAGAATAAGCCCCTCTCTTTTGTATGATCTCCAACCTGACATTTGGAACATTCAAAACAAATCAGGACATTCTGAAGCAAGATAGAAACCACCATCTCCACCCACTCCCATTGGCACTCTTGTCCACCTGGAAAGGGTTTTAGAAAATTTCCAGTGTTTTCCACATCATGCAGCCCTGAGAAGGGAAGTAGCACTTATTGAATACCTACTGTATACCAACCATGGGGCCGGGCTTTGCGTGCATTAAAAATTTGCTGGTGAAGTTGATGTTTCCTGCATTTAAATTCAACTGCAAGCTGTGAGCAGGGCCCAGGCTGTCTTGGTATACCCAAGAATCTAAAATATGGTGGGTACTCAAGTTTGTTGAGTGAATAAATGGATGAAAGGATGCAAGAAACTTCCCTGCCATAGCAGAGAGTAACGGTTGAATGTCAGCAAAGGTGATTGAAGTTAGACTTGAGAAAAAAAAACCGCATGGCAAGGCCATGTGGATGGGTAGGGTTTCAGGGAAGGTTGTGGACATTGGATGCTTGATTTCTGAGTCCCATTTGCTCTGTGTTCCTTTTGGGAATAGTCAGGGGTAGGCAAGACAGAGCCTTTTGTTTCACTGCAAAGGCTCAGAGTTAAAATGCAAATAGTCCTGTGAAAGGTTAAGCTACGGATTTGATGCTTATTCATATACATGGGACTGGTGACAAAGTCTCTTCTAAGAACAGGATTTAGGAATAAGTTGGGGAGAGTAGTGGTAGAAAGAAAGCAACCCTGGAGATTCAAGGGCAAGAGGAGATTTGAAGGGGAAGGGGGAGAAAGGGAAGGCCAGGGCCACTGGAGTCAAACTTCTTTCAATGCCCATTTAGCCAAAGGAAGAGCCGGGTGCAAACAGTCTGTGGGGCTGACAGGGCCTTCCATAGCATTGGGCAGGTCAGTCAAACTGCCCACTAGTGGGGGCAGGAAGGAGACCCGGCCAGTATGAATTCCTGGAAAGTATGGATTACAGATTGGCTTAAAGATGTAGTTCTATTGTTCCTAGGCAAATAAAGGCTATCCCAAATGGGCCCAGTAACACATTGCCTCTCAGAGATCTGTAGGGATTTAAAAACTAGCAATCAATTCTATTCTTAGAGGGCTTGGGGGTCCTTGAAAATTATTAGTCTTCTTAGCTCTTCGAACCATTGATTTCCTTTGGATGACACCTGTTGTTCTTGTGGCCCATGGTCCATTCGCCGTTCTCGTCGCATACCCCACCTTCCCTCTGGGACACCTACCTCTTTTCCACTCTCATTGGCTCTGGGTAAAGCAGGCTGCCCCTTCCGCCAACACACTCTAGGGGCGGAGCCGTGGCTCAGGCCTCAGCCAATCAGCAAGCTGCATTCCCCTGGCCTTAATGATTGGTTCAGATACCAACATATGACTCAATAGGAGACGATAAGGTTTTTGCAGGGGCTGCTGGGAAAGAGGTGC